TGCTCTACTGCCCCCTTCAGGTGTTATTCTCCTTTCTCGTTCCAATAAAATTTTAGTTTATTGTTCAACGCTGTATCAGAAACATATTTAAATTAAGAAATTATTCTTTTTAATTACGCTTAACTGCATGTTTTAATGCAAATAACCACCAACGGTAATTATTACCAAGGAAAAAGGTAACATCTCAAATTTCTGAGGGTTTACACGGACATCTGTATCTTTGGGGGCTCTTGAAAAGTTATTTTTGATCCCTTTTTCCCTCGACCCGTGACTGAAAACCACGACATGACGGAACCTTCATCATCACGTCCTCACTCGAAGCACTTTACTCACACGCCGCTTTGGTTCGTTAAGGCGCTAAACATAGCCATACATTTGCACACAACAACACTTCTCTTTGACGGCGCGTCTAATCACAGAGAGAACGCGTACCGCACTCAAGCAAAGACAAAGAAAGGCCTCCCGTCCACTGAGCAGCTTCCATCGTCCTCAGCGTCTCGCCCAGGACGACGCAGACGCGGGCTAATTAGCTAATAATTAGCTCAAACCGCTGGACCGAAAATGTTAACAGTGTCTTTTACCAGCGGATCGAAGCACAACAAAAAGGCAAACGCGTGACGTCTCCCCCTCCCCCCCGTTTGAGCCTCCTCCGCACATCCTCATCCTCTCTCTCGACCCACGCGGAGGCCGGCAGAATTAATGACCAGCTGAATTCACAAGGGAAAGTTATGAATAATGTTTACGTATTAATCATTCATGGCGGCCAGCCGAGCACGTCGCGCCGCCGCTCCCCTGGAAATTACAGGGCCCACCTCAACAACATAAATTATCCATCAGATTTCAATCAGGCCCGTCGAAGCCCAAACTATCTCCGCACAACGGCTGCAAAGTCCGGCGTCCGTGACCAGCAGGCAGCGCGCCGCCTTAATCCGTCAGTCGATGTATCGACGGCGAGGAAGCAGCAGTTTAAACGCGCAATCTGCTTTTTCGTCACAACGCGAAGACACAGTGTGTGGAATGGGTAAACGATAAGTTCACCGCAGAAGACAGAGCTGACATTTGTGCTGTTTAATGCAGCTGATGTTTCCCCCAAATTAAAATTTGATTTAGCATCCAAGCCACTTGCTTTCCCATCATCCCCTCCCTGGCTTTTCTGCGTAGACAAGCATTAATTGAGGGGTGTCTTTTTTTTGGTCCGTCTCTCTTCCAGTCCCTTGTCCTCTACAGAGGCTCTTTACGATTGTCCATATTGGACGAAATGCATGAAATATTTCGCTTATTTTGCTGAAGGTGACAACAAGGCAATGGGTGGCACGGTGGCGCGGTGGTTAGCACTGTTGCCTCACAGCAAGAAGGTCCTGGGTTCGATTCCGCCCAGTGGCCTTTCTGTGTGGAGTCTGCATGTTCTCCCCGTGTCTGCGTGGGTTCTCTCCGGGTTCTCCGGCTTCCTCCCACAGTCCAAAGACATGCTCTGGGGATCAGGTTAATTGGGGACTTTAAATTGCCCGTAGATGTGTGAATGTGAGTGTGACTGGTTGTCTGTCTCTGTGTTGCCCTGCGATTGGCTGGCGACCAATCCAGGGTGTACCCTGTCTATCGCCCGAAGTTGGCTGGGATGGACTCCAGCCCCCCCACGACCCTGTGTGCAAGATAAGATGGACAACAAGGCAGAGAGAAGCCCAGATCACTGTGAACATGCTTAACGATACGTATAATGATGTAAAATGTAGCAGTGAAGAGTTTGTACATACGTCATTGAATAGAATGAGAGAACGTGTCCAAACTTTTGACTAGTAGTGATGCATCGATGCAGCGTTTCAGTCGGCTGCCTTTCTGGAAGGTTCTGACCCCTGATCACGTGAAAAGAATCCAATAACAACAACATGAGTGAACATGTTAAACACATTGTGGAACATTTGAAGGCGACGCTGCACATTGTGAGCTAGCAGAGTGGCTCAATGAGCACAGAATCAACACAAAATGTACCCTGCGGAAAAAAAAAAACCCACTCAAAACACAGTTTTCCGATTGACTCCTTGACGGCGGGATTCTAAAAAGTTAAACATCAGAAGCGACACACACACACACGGAGTAAGAGAAGTCAAAAGCAGAACACGAGGCCGGCTGGAGGGGGTGTGGGGGGGGGGGAATCCTCGCCGCTCTTTACGTCGCCGGTCCGGCGACAAAGCGGCAGAAAGCCAAGCGGCATAATTAGTTTCACAGGAGGAGTGTGTTTAAGGACGATAAGCGTTGCTTTGGGTGCGGAGGAGTCAGCAGACGAGTGTAGCTGCTTGTTATCGGCGCGGCGCAGAGGGGAGAGCAGCCCGCCGCTTTAATAACTTTGAGAGACAGAGGTGAGGATGGGGGGAGGAGGAGGACGGATGCTGTCCCTTTTATCAAGTAACGCACGGAAAAGACAAACAAGAGATCCGTATCTGCAGCTTTTTTTTTTAATTTTTAACCAGTGCATTGGAAAGGAACGAGGCCTGCGTTCGGCCTGCTGAGAGTCACCACGAGAACACACAAACACAAACGCCATCATTATTCATGGCGGAGACGCCCCTTGATGCCCGCGCTCGTCGAGTGAGCCTGACCACCGTGTGATGCGAGGAAGAGGAACGTGAGAGGGAGCGCTCGAGTGGCTGCTGGGGAAATTGGTCCAAGAGACGTGTGGCGAGATGATTTTCCAGAGAGGCAACAGCAACGTCAGCCTGATGTGCCTGATTGGATAGAAGTCTATTTCCGGTGTTTAGACTGAGCTTAGGGATGTAAACCCCATTTGGAGCCCAACACTAACAGTTTGATTTTGTTTTAATTCATTATTTCAGATGGGTTATTTTCCTGATCAGCAGCTCAGTGGTAGTTTCCGCTGTACTTGTCAACAATTTCTGTTACTGGAAGTGTTTTCGGGGGTTCTGTACATCACAGGCAAAACCTCAGTAAATCAGCTGCTTTTAAAAGTCAAACCATTATTTTTATTTGGACTATTAATAAAAATGAAATGGATGGATTGATTGAGAGATTGGAAAGACCTTACATCGACAATCCATAAGGTCTCCCTGTAAATTCCTAGTGTGCACCCCCCCACAACTATGAATAGAAACGTGCTGTCTGCTCACTTGCTCGATTCATCAGCAGTAAACCTGCCAAGTGTGAAGTCAAATAAACCGGTTTACATGGTTGTTACTTCATAGCATTTGAAGTCGAATGAGACGGAGGAAGCATCCTTGACGGAGAGAAACCCAAAGACTCTCTCTTCATTCGAGTCAATTAAGATGTCCGGTTTCAGAAATGTCCTCCTCCTTTGGCCTCCATGTCAGCTGCGTTCACCCTTGTTTGGAGGTTGCACGAAGCTTTTCTCCGTTCTTGTTCTGCAGGCGAGCGTCAGCGTCTGAAACTGGTGGCGAAGCGTCAGAGTCGGAAGCAGAGTGGTGTCGGCTCGGGAGGCAGAACACCAGACAGGCGGCAACATTAAATTGCAGTTGTAAAAGCCTCAAAAAACTGCATTAGCGCCATCTTGGGACTCTTAAATATCTGTATCGTTGGGCACAATAATTCACTACTAAAAAGAAGGAAGTCCATTAAGTAAAAACCCTGCGAAGCACAACAACAATACATTAGAAACGCGATAGTTCACTGAGCAGGTCCAGAGAAATACGTCCATCGTACGAGAGGTGATGCTGACTCAAGTACGTCTCCATCTTGCCTTCAGTTTTCTCCAGGCCGGCTTTAATCTGGACATCTTTGACCCTTAGACTGAATAAAGCTCTGAAAAAGATATAGACAAACAACAAAAGAGGACAACGCTGACGGTTTGGGGCTTTTTCTCCCTCCATGTGAAGGCTGCCATTTGGCCCTTTGTCATCAGGACGAGCCTGGCGAGCGGGGCTCAAGAGGTTTTCATTTGAATTCTCTGTCTCCGCAGCCCGTCACCTTGTCAGAGCTATTCTTCACGCTGGCAGAAGGCAAAAGAGCAACTCAGCGGGTGTTAGCGGGCTGCGCCGTCCTTCTGCTCGCTCGCTGGGAATGCACAGGACGAAGAGGGCTGCTTTTCCCACAATGTATGAATGCACACAGGAGTGTCTTCACGAACGCTTTCTCTTTGCCCTCTCGACTCTTTTGTGCCGTCAAGGCTTCTCAGGCTACCGAGGATCGTGCGCGCGAGCAAACCTCAATGGGAAAAGGTGCATGTATTCAGGCTTCTTTCTTCCAGCAGCCGGAAAGGGAAAACCTGTGATCTACAGAAGAAGCTCAAAGGACGGAGTTGAAAAGAAGGATGTGACCGATGTTATCCAAATACAGACTATGCATTTGTTTATCTAAAGAGCACTTTCTGCATTGTTGCCTGTGTTGCACAAATATAGGAGATAACCTTACAGAAGGCAAACAGCTCACTGTGAAAAGGTTGTAATGTTAATGTTAATGTTGTAATCAGCATCATTAGCAGGTCATTACACAGCTGAGGCTGAATCATTTGAAGGTATTTGCCATAAATTAAGATTTAATCAAGCAAACGGCAAATATTATTATTACGATTCCTACGGAAGGGGAACATAATGCGTCTGTAGCAAATTATATGGTGATCCATCCAATAGGCTGTATCCTTTTAATCCTTTTGAATCTGGATTGGTCAAAAAATACACAGACAAACAAAGAATGTATAATAATTATTCAGGACTCCTTATGCAGTAGCAGTTCGTTATACGTTTATAGGATATAGTTGTATAGCATATTATAGTTCATAAGTTTCATTATAGTGTTAATTTAAGTAGCAGTAACAATGCAGGAAAGGAGAACAGGAACACGACGGGAAACTAGACACTACAAACACGGGCTGGAAACCAAGAAAACAACAACAAACCGCTTCAAAGTGGAAAGATCAAAGGGGGGGGGGGGAGGTGCCAACGAGGGACAGGTGAAAACAATCAGGGCGGGGCCGACGATCCCACAGGTGGGAGGATAACAAAAAAAGGTCAGATTGTGACAGATTCCCCTTGCGAAGCTCTTTTCTGTGTGTATTTATTCACATGATGCAATCAGTTTCCGTGGTCACAGGACAGACCCACCGAAATCCACGTGAGATGTTTGAAATATAATACTGGGCTCTTTATTGTTTGTATTTAGAGGTTTTGTTTGTTGTGATTGATTAAAGTCCCGTTTTGTTCAGTTTCCGACATTTTTTCGTCCCCAAAGTCATTAAAACCTCATTTTTGAACCTGAAGTCGTGTGTAAGGCTATTTCCAGGACGTCGTTGTACAGTACAGTGTAATCAAAAATAGAACTTCATTTTGAAGCCTGAGATAAATCTCACAGGAAGCGGACATGTGATACAGCCCGGCTGGTTGACAGATGTCCTTTCCTTGACTTGAGATTATTGCCAGAGGTGGTTTTGCATGCGGTGTCATAATTGAAGAACCATTTTAAACCCCTGAACTTTTGTTAAATATTTGATTTGACTCATGTAGTAGAACATACATTTACTCTCTCTGCATTAGCCAAAGAGACATTTCAAAGACACTATCGGCGGATTCGTGCTTGAACATATTTCATGCATTCCGTGCATCAGAGAGGTATTCGGATCCGTCTAAGCACTGACTCTCGTCCCCTGTGAGCAGGAACAACGCTCAGAGGCGACACGAGGAGGGTTTGCAGCGACAGAGCTCTCGTTCGTTCGTGTCGGCGCCGGCCCGCCGACAACAGCGCCGGCTGATCGTCATCGTTCCTGTCACTCATCAAAAAGGTGACGTTAAACTCGGCTGGCTCTCATTTCAACATTTTGCCCGTTGCCTGAGTTTCATATTTGGAGTGACATGTGAAACTTGCACCTGGGCCTCACACAGTTTGTCACGAAAACAATCAAGAGACTAAAATATGTAATATTTTGAAATCACATATTACTTATAATATTAGATAGTTAGAGACTAGCCATTTAAATGGTTTTAAATACAATAAATAGTCAATGTCTATTAGTGCACTATATACTAGAATGTCTGGGGTGATGCCAAAGTATTGATTGAGTAGTTTACCTGTAATTTTAATTCAATTTAATTCGTTCATCCTCTTCGGTTTACATGGTGCTGGTCGGATGGCCCTTCTTCTGTCGGACGCTGGGTACTTAGCTTCACTTTTCACACCCACAATAATGAAGCGCTCTTTAAAGAACAATAAAATGTCTGAGGGAAAGCTTTACTACTGGCCAATCCCAGTTTTTACTTGTTCAATGCACAGAGAAATCCAGTTCCCAGGCTCTTCGGTTCACATATCTTAATTAACAGCGGGGAGATAACGTTGCCAATGTGGCCTCGGAGTGGTGACTCACCCATTACGCACATTAGAACGACTCCCTTTTCATAAAAATCACATATTTCAGCCAAACGCTTTTGCACAGCCAAACCTTTCATTAGTCCTGCAGTGCACATGGAGATGCAGTGCTTCAGTGAAATGGTTTGACCAGCAAATTGTAAAATACACAGATGGGTGAAAGACGCAGATATATTCAAATGATCACATTCAGCGCTTATGGTCTCGTACTTTCCTGCTCTCACGCCGCTCCGGGAACGATTGATAGTTTGACCTCACCCCAATTATCAACCAGAATGTGTCTTTGGCAGCCTTGTTTCCTCCCTCGTGTGTTACGCTAGTTCATCCTATCAGTCACTTTACACTTGACCTTTTCTTTTTTTCTTCAGACCAACGCCTGCAAATTCAGTCTGACTGAGAACAGAGACGAAGATGCTACAACCATTTCAACAGCTTAATAAAATAAAAGTGGCAATGACAACGACACCTCCCAAGAGGAAAGAAGCTTTTCAACTATATTAAATATTCACTCTCTGTGAGAATAGCAAACAAAACACAGACGTGTGTAGCAGTCTGAAAAATAATAGACGTTGAGGTATCTAACTCGACTGCTCAAAATGAAATGTTCATATTACCTGTATTTTTTTTTTTTACATTCATGTCCATCTAGGATGTGTAACACAGTTCCAATCAGATCAAAGTGGGTTTTACCCACGTGCCAGAATTCCCATGACACAATATAGCTCTCAATAAATCATGTGGGGGAGAAAGGCATAACGATAATTACACTTTGTAATGGTGCAAAACAGTTGCTCAACGGTGATTATGAGAGTGCGTGTGCATGCGTCATAATATCCGGGATGCACCACGTCCTCTCCAGGCTCTTGGGGAAAGTGTCCAGCGCTCACCACAGGTGCTGATCGCCAACCAAGGTAATGAAAAATGACATCAAACATGGGACACACTTAACCGTGAATGAGTTGTCATCACGCCGGCTACAAAAAGAAACCAAAAAACACCCAACGGAGGGGCCACAGCGACGTCACGGCGCCCCCCCCCCCCCCTTCCGGCGCCACGTGGGCGAGAGGAGCCGTGGAGGACGACGGGCCTCTCGCGGCGTTGGCTCGCCTGTCAGCGGCGCCGTCCTGACCAAACGTGTGCAGCAAGCGGAAAAAAGCTGTGCGCAATCAGCGAGACAGCTGCCGGCTTGATGAGGGTGTAGCTCGAAAAAGGCTTTTTGCTTTTTTTTTTTTTTTCCCTCCGTGTTTTGCAGCACCAACACGAGAGCACGCTGCACGCGGGGGGCCCGTCCGATGCGGCAGGGTTGGTAGGATGCAGAGGGGGTTCTGTATGCATGCGGGCGAAAGGGAGGGGATGGATGGATGGGAGACGGTGATGCAGAGGGAAGCAGGGCGGAGGCGTCTGATGCTGATCTTCGTGGCCTCGGGGAGATCGGGTTTACCTCATTTCCCTTTCATGGCTACATTGTCGGAGTCAGCAGTTTCGGTGCAGCGTATAATACAGCTGCAGGTTTTTTTTCTTTCTCTGAGCGTGAAAGGGAAAGCTTGACGGGGGCAGTCGGGGGGGGGTGTTAAGAAAATAGTTGCTAAGCACTATTGAGCGAAACGAGCTAAACTAAGATGGCGACCACGGTGAACATCACCAAGCTTCAGCATGTTAGCATTGTCGTTGTTAATAGTTAGCATACTGACGTTAGCATTCAGCCCTGTGCGGTCTCATACGGCTTGCTTCTACTTGCAGGATAAACATATTTCACACTACGTGGCACCTGAAACATGCACCTCAGAAACACATTAGTGGTGCTTTGGCACCGTGACGGCTTGGTCGAAGCACTTCGTGGGAGAAACTCTGCAGGGCATCTCAACAGTGTGCAGACATTGGTTCCAATCTATATACTGCTCAGACTTTGCATGAAAACATACGGAGGGATTAAGTGTCTGACATTTGACAGCCGGGGAATTAAGTAAAGAGGCGGAGATTCTTCCCTCATCTTCCCTGTCTGTTTTGTGAAATTGCATTTGTATCCCTCCTATGGATTATAAATGTATTTATTCATTTCATTTAAAATGGCTGTTTGCTGTGTATATAATTTTTTTGTTTTATTTATTTATGTAGGAATTATGTCGTGGCTGACAAAATGTGTTAATGTTGGTTTTAGGCAATTAGAGGGGAATAAATGACATAGACTGCAGGCAGCCTGATTCAGTGATTGCTTGACTTTGTAGGACTGAAGTCTGAGTGCTCTGAATAGATCAGCACTTTGTGTGCAAAACGAAGACAAACTTTCTATTTACCCTGTGTGTGTGTGTGTGTGTCTGCTGGGTTGGTGTATGACCAAGCAAACATGAATGCCTGTAATCAAGTCATCCACTTTGTGAGATATTATCTTTGACCTTGGAGCCGGAGGTAGCTAGATGAATTCTTAAACGCCGGATTGAGCTTGAAGAAGAAGCCCACAAACAGTAGATACGAGAGAAGCACAGCAGCAGAGACAAAAAGGACACACGGCGTCTTTAAGGTGCCCAGAGAAAGGACGAGAAAAAAAAACGATGAGCTGCAACAAGGTGAATACGAGATCAGAAAGTGAACCGCAGCACCCGGGTCTCGGCCCCCACCGCCGTTATTATTCCTCTGAACTCCCCACGTGACCTTTAGGTTGATTACAGTGGCGGTTTGGCATCAAAAGTGAACCAGCTGTGCGTGTTCATAGTGTGTGAGAGCGTCAGGACTGTAATCTCCGGTCCCCTGATTCAGTACGGACGAACAAAATCAATCCGACCTGTGTGGAGGAAATCGATACCCATTAAGAGGCACCAACAAAAAAAAAAAAAACGTGCAGGACGCAGGAAAGAAAAACAGGCCTGCTGTGAGTTCTTGTGGGGCAGTGGTGCAGTATCAGAAGCTGGGAGTTTGTGCTGTTTCATCCAAACATTTGCCCTCGTTATATAACGTTTCACATTGTGATTTGTGGACTGTATTTTCTTTTTTTTTTGTAGAAAGACTGTTTTGTTACATTGGTTTCAATTTTCAACAATATAAATTGCACTGGCATGGGGACAGACATCTCCGAAACCAGCTTTTAACTCAAGACATCAACACAAAAAATGTTTCAAAAATACTTGCACAAGACATTTAGCTGGAAGATCTATCAATAAGTCAGAAAAGAACAATTTAATGACGATATAATAACATTTATTCAACACATTTATTTCTAGATCCATGCATCCATGCAAAGTATGTGACAATTTCCTTAGGGGACAAAATCACGCGATTTTGTCCATCCTCGGCCTTCAGAAGAACGACAGCACGTCCGGGATGTTGTCACAAGGTTCAAAACCAGACACACACTCCTCAAAGAAACACTTTCCTGCGTCAAGAACTTCTTGGGGAGGCGGATGCGTCTGCTCTGGTTTGTCCTCGCTTTCCCCGGCGGCGGCTGTTTTCTGCTGTTTCGATCCAGCGGCCGCATCGTCAACGCCCGGCGCGGCGCTCGGCTCTGCTCGGGCGACACCTCGCGACCCCGCTCCGGCGTTCGCCCGCAATATTTGACTCACTTCGTCCCCAATAACTTTTTCCGAAGTGAGCTCGTTCCACATTCTCTGCCGCATGACGTCGTACTTCCACCCAAAGCTGTTCTGCCTGGACCATCGCTTGAATGGCGAGATCACCAGATTGTCAGAGGCAAACGGGCGGATGTGGCCTTCGCAAACGAGGTCGCTCCCTCCGCCGTTCCGGGTGTAAACTGCAATGCAGTCCTTATTTGGGGTCATCTCGGCACTGGAGCGTACGGGCAGATGAGCCCAGCCTGGTGGAATCTGACAGAGTACATATTTGGTTGTTGATGGGGCAACTGCAAATAGATAGGACAAAAAAACAATGTCGTTAATGGGATATTGCTAAATCAGTGTTATGTTATGCGAACATACCTTGAAAAAAGTGCTTAGCAACCCACACATGGGAATAAAGCAACCCAGTCAGTTTGGGTATGTCTTAAATACGTTATATTAAAGCATATCAACTTGTTCTGGTTTTAGCTCAACACGCATGAAATGTTTATACAAGAAAATATGGAGATTCACAACATGAGTACGCTCAAAAATCATTAGAAAACTTCAGCTTCAGACTTCTATCTGAAACTCCTGAAAACAGGCGATGAAATTCATGTTCATCTGAAGAGAGAAGTTTGAGCGTGATCTGCTCCCCACACACACACAGAACCCGGTGATAACCCTTAAATGTCTGCTTACCGGCCTTTGAGGTTCCCTGCTCTCTGTCCATGGTTTTGGGTGCGTGGTAACAACCGACTGCTGAAAATGATCAGTGATCAAACATTCGTGAATCTTGTGAAGCAAATGTAAACCAAACGGTCGCCCCGGCGACAACTGGAATGCAACAATACTCATTGCTTTGCATTCATGCGTCAAGAACTCCCCAATGTTATGGTTTAAAATCATTGGATTTTAAACCATAACATTCGTTGTGATGCATGTAATAAACTGCCGCACTCACATCTCGGGCCTGTTTGTCGCACGTCTCACTGTTACTGTGACCGGCTCAGGTCTTCTCTCTCTCTCTCTCTCTCTTTCCGTTTGCTCTGGACATATGGTCCTCCATATTTAAAATGCGGGGGACCGGAGGACTTTTGGGGCGTGACTTTCACGGCAAACAGCCAGCTGCAACGGCCTACATCCATCCGGCGTGTGCGTCTCCTCAATTTGCACAACCTTGGGAGGGATTTCTGTCTCCCCGGAGCAACGATCACAACTCCAGATTCCACATAAAGTTATATTTCATGCTAATGAATTAATGTACCCGTTTCCATTTTCAGCCTGAAATATACGCTCCCCTCCCATGCCCAAATGAAAAATGAAATTAGTCTTGTCATTTGCAGCCGATTTGTTTCGGGTCCCAGCTCGCTCTCCTTTTTCCCCTCGGCGTGGTTGTTGCCGACAGCACAGCTGTGTTCCTGTAAGTGATTCTGATAACACCGAATTAAATGCCTTCTGACAGAGTTGGGCCATTAATATGGAATCACAAACGTCAAGCTGACTCAGAACAATGTATTAAACGCTGTATAAATTCGCCATCCACCCTCATTTCTATAAAGTTCAGTACTCAGTACGCAAGACACTTTTAAACAACAGCATTGCACATTGCTTATGATGTTAAAATATGATTATATTTAATATTGTTAAATAAATTGGCATATTGTTTGTCAAAACCGTGAAGGTGAGGAACACAAAAATTCTGAAAATGATGAAGAAACAATGAATGGTCATTAGTGTTGTTTAAAATGTGTGCATATATTAGATGCAATTAATGTGATTATTAATACTTCAAATTAAACCCAATAAGATACAGTAGTGGACCACAGCATTATTTGCATTTGATGTGACAGAATAAATTACATTGATCACAAACCTGACATTTAACGTGCATGTCTCTTTGCCTATTTTCCTTTTTAAATCCAGCTATTTTATTGTGTTTTTGTGCTTCAACAGTTTCCCTGATGACTGATGGAACTGCTGTTGGGTGGAATCCGGTTGAAAAAACCTTCCGGCGGGATGCGTCAATCTCTTTCAAGTGTGGAAGATGCACATATTCTCAGAACTTACAGGGGTCCAAAGGGCTGCTGGCGCGCCGTGTGACAGTATAACATCCTGAGACCCGGTGTCAAAACTTGGCTGAAGGTTTTTTGTTGTTTTCTCTTCCCTCTACTTCACGTGTCACCAGAGCTGCCCCCAAAAAGACGAGCTGAATCTCGTGTTGACGGCATCAAGGGGCAGAGAGGGCGAGGAGATGGGTGGTAAATACCCTGTTGTATGCAGACTTGCAAAAGACAACAGGATGAGTAATGGGGGACACAGTGAAAAATAAAACGCTATGGCCGCTCATCCTTCTGCAGTAAAAGAGGAAGTTGGAACGGAGGCAGAGGGTCAGCGAACACATGTGAAACCTCTTTAAACTTCCGTCAGTTATCTGCTCAAGCGGCCTGAGCTCCAAAGATCAGAGGGGCCATTTTGGCACCAAAAAAAGCAAAAACATCCATCCTT